AGTAGGGAGGCGTCCTCTCATGGATTATAGCATGTTCCGCACAAAATAGATCAAATTCATTGGAAAAATGCTCTCCACCACGATTGGACCTAAGCCGTTTAATTTTTCGATCAAGTTGGTTCTCTACCTCAGCTTTATAGTTTTTGAAGAAAGTTAAAGCCTCATCTTTTGATTTCAGGAGATACACATAACAATATCTCGTGGAGTCATCAATCAACGTCATGAAGTATCTCTTTCCACCTTTTGTCAACACGCCATTCATCTCACAAAGAACAGAATGTATAAGCTCTAGTGGCGCCAAGTCTCTTGCCTCTGCAGTCTTATGGGACTTGCGAGGTTGCTTAGCTTGCACACATATTTGGCACTTAGAGCCTTTGACAGTAGAGATTTTCGGAATTAAATTCATATTGGCTAGCCGCGTCATGCAACCAAAGTTAATGTGACAAAGTCGTGAATGCCAAATATCAGACTCATTGTTGTGGCAAATATTATTAATAGCTTTAGTGCAAATATCTGACAAAGACAGGCGGAACAAGCCTCCGCTTTCATAGCCTTTTCCAACAAATTGTCCATACTTAGAAATTACAACTTTATTGGATTCGAAAACCAACTTAAAACCATCTCGACATAAACGGAAACCGCTAACGAGATTTTTATTTATGGACGACACATGATGAATGTTCTTCAGACGCACAGTCTTCCCTGAAGTAAACTTCAGATCGACCGTACCAACACCTCAAACGATGGCATGTGATCCGTTCCCCATCAGCACGGGTGAAGTCCCTGTTGCCATGATTCCTTCATATCAATATCACCGATGACAACATTAGCGGACTTGCCGCTCTTCTCATGTTCGCGCTCCTCAAAGCGGTTATGACACTTCAGAGCCCAGTGATTAGGATCACCGCAGACATGGCAAAGTCCCTTCCCCTTTTTATGAGAATTCTTCTTGAAGTTGGTAGAATGTGATGGCTTGTTCTTTGTATCAAACTTGCCTTTGCCCTGAGTTTGTTCTTATTGTTTTTGAAGTTGTTGGGTTGGGAGTTCTTCTTCTCTACCATGTGGGCACTAGAACCTCCCTCAGCAACTCGAGCATGTGTGTTCTTTGCTCTCGCCTTCTCTTCAACATCAAGAGTACCAATGAGATCCGCAATGGAAAACTCTTGTCTCTTGTGTTTCAGGGAAGTAGCAAAATTGTTCCACGAAGGTGGAAGCTTGGCAATGATGCCTCCGGCAACAAATTTGTCCGGCAACACACACTTGAAGTACTCAAGTTCTTTTGCGAGTGACTGTATCTCATGAGCCTGCTGTACAACAGGGCACTCATCAGTCATCTTGTAGTCATAGAATTGCTCCATGACGTACAACTCGATGCAGGCGTCCGAGGCACCAAACTTGGCCTCGAGCACAGCCCACATGTCCTTGCCGTTGTCAAACGACATATACAAATCCACAATGGAGTCATCAAGAACACTCAGAAGAGCGCCTTTAAAGAGGGTATCGATCTTCTCGAAAGCTTCCAGCTGTGCTGGATTAAGATCGCCCTTAGGCTTGCCCTTGGTGGCGTTATAGCAGCCCATGGTCTGAAACCAGTAGACTGCTCTCGTGTGCCACCTCTTATATTGCGCCCCCTTAAAGGCAGGCGACTTCAGATGCGCAGCAAAACCACTCGGAGTAAATTGCCTATAATCAGGTTTTTGGATTGTTGGAAATATGAGCAAGTTACTACGAGATTTAATTCGAATAATTAGAAGATAAATCATGACTACAGTAGTAGAGATTAAACTAATCATGCGAACTAGCATAGCAGATGAACAGATCACATCTAGGGCACATACTAGAAACATGAATTCTACCACGATCTCGAACAGGAAGGATAGAATCACATACGGTGCAGCGGGAGCAGCACTACCGGCGTTGACGGTGTCGCCCATGTCGCTGAGGATGAGGTTGCCGAGGTCGGGGAAGAAGTCGTCGTTTACGAAGTCGTCGCTGCCAGCAGTCGCGCGAGTGTGCTCCCCAAAAACCTGATCGCCCCTCTCCCGTACAGGATCACGAGAGGCGGGGCACCGGAGGCCTGCTGTCCCTTCTCCCGGTGCACGCCGAAAGGCGGGATGGAGAAGACTTGCTTGGTGGCGCAATGATCTGGAATGGTGGTGAGAAACCATACGAAGCGGCGGCGGCTAGGGTAGACGTCTGCCTGACTATATAGTGCGGGCCGGGTAGGTCGTGGGAGTAAACCCCACGTTCGAGTCGTCACGATCCAAAAGAATCGGAAACGGTTCAGTAATTAACGCGTCCGTTGATTATTAATTAATGACTCATGAATTTTTCCCGAGCTGCAAAAATATAGACAACGTGCATAGCTCTGTCCTCGGCTCAATCCCGCAACCCGCGGCGCGTCGTGACAAGGTGAGGCGTGGCGAGGCGAGTAAGGAGGAGGAGCGCGCGTGTAGGTCTCCTCTTCTCATGCTCATACAAATGGTAGAAGAGATCACCTTATAAAGAGGTGCAACTCTCTCTCAACTTTCGGGATGGGACTAAACTTTAGCCTCACTCATTCCACTCACATGTGTGCATGAATGGGCCAAGAGAATTTTAGAATTTTAGTTGGGCTTTAGGCCAAAGGCCTACTAGCAAAATTTCAACAATTCACTCTTAGGTAAGAGCAACTTTGCACTATCATGGTATTGTTCGTGTAGAAGAGGGAGCATGTTAAAAAACTGCCGCGTGTAGAAACAGTTTGTTGTGCCTGTCTCTGTTGATGCAGATGCCTGGAGAAATAAAATTCTTCCATTTTCCAGAAAAAAAAGATCACACCCAAAAAGCCAGGAATACAAGTATTTTGCTGGTTTAGCCTTACTTTCTCTAGGTGATGTTACACTCGCTTATGTAGCAGTTTGCTGCATGCATCCATGCACGGGAACTACAAATCAGGTTGCGTGACCTGCTCTGCGAATAAGAATAAAAGGGAACTACAGGGATTGCTCTAAAATAAAGCAAGGGATATGGATCTTAAAAAGGAAAAAAAGGAAATGTAAACCAGACAAGAACATCATCATGGCAAACACGTGAGTGGCACCAATATTACAGCAAACACACAAGGAAAAGCCTAAAATATTGTGGTTGAAGCTGCTGAATCGTATGGGTTCACCTGAGATCACTGAGAACAAGAGACAAGAATTGCTCTAATAAAGGCAAAGGGTCGGAGAATCTAAAGAACAAACACTATCGAATTAATAAAGGTTTCGGTGGCCTTTCCCTCCGTTTCGGTATTTCTTCTAGGCTTTCGTGTTGGGCGTCTGGAAATTCATCACATGGTCAATGAAACGTGTGAAACGCAAAGCCACTGTTTTCTCTATCTTACTCCCAAATTAACATAGCTTTGGAAACGATAATCCACTTCTGAGTCCAGACTCATCTACACCCATGCTGAAAAAAATCAAAACAAATACTATTTTTTTTTAAAAAACTCCAGTTTTTTACATGGTAGATAATTTGATGCGTGAGGTCCGCTCCTATTTTCAAATCATTTGGACATCTGAGCAGCTCTCGGCAAAAAAAAAAAACAAATTCAAGGTCTGTAAAAAGTTTACTATTCATGCATTGTTTTGACCTGATTTGTCTGTTTTACTGAGAGCTACTCAGATGTCCAAATGACTTAAAAATTGAAGCAGGCCTCACGCAAAAAAATTTCTACTAGGAAAATAATTGAATTTGTTTGAATTTTTTATGATTTTTTTTCTGACCGAGTGCAGATGAGCTTGGGCACGGAATTAATCTGAGAAATGCCTATCATAGAGTAGAGAGGCAACTACGGTTTGTTTGGGAACTGGTTTTTGATTCTTCTTTACAACACATCACACCTAAAGTGCAATTTTCGTATAGGTTACCAAGATACCGTGGGGGAAACTGACATGGAAGGGTTCAGTCTTTGTTTAGATGGTGGAGCATTTACAGACTCTTATGAAGTTTGCTTCAAGCTACTGAGATATATGCATGCACATGCTTCACTGAATCTGGTTCTGAGCTGCACCTCAAACAAGCAATGAGAAAGCCAGTGATTGCTCCAAAACAAAGCAAGGGATAGGAATCCGAAAAATGAAAAAAGAAAAGGCAAAGAAGAATGTGATCATGATCAACACGTGAGTATGTACCAATATTACAACGAATGCACAAGGAAAAAGCAAGAATATTGTGCTTGAAGCTGCTATATCATATGAGCACACCTTTACCTTGAGATATCAAATGCTAGAGGAACCCGGCCCTAGCCTTCGAGGTCTGCACCTTGACCCTGAGATCGCCGCAAACAAGAGCCAACGAGGAAGGGGTTAGGGTACCACCCGAGTCATATAGTAGCATTTCGTTCTAATGGATAATTTTCTCACTAGTTAACCAACAGATTAAAGGAGAACCGGACTAGTGCCCAACTATTTTCTTAGAATAAATCCGAAACATACCGTTGATCATCCGAGGACCAAGCAATCACACGAGGCGTGACACCGAGATTTGCTAACGAGGTTCGCCGATATGGCTACATCCCCGGAGCTTGACTATGAGCGCTCCTCCCCATGACACCGCTACAATACCACACCCGGTCGCCCTGGACGCCGGCACACGCCGTCGGCTTCCCCTGCATTCCTGTGCTATTATGTTGGCATAGGTTACACGTGTGTCTACCCCCACTATATATGAGAGGCTTAGGATACAGGTGTCCTATTAGGACACGGCTCCATATCTTATCTAAACACAATATAACTACAAGTGCAACTGTAACCTACCTTGTACACAATATTCAACACAACTCTAACATACTTTACATCACAAGGAAGCCGCTAGAAGCACCACTCTTTCATGTATATATATATATATATATATATATATATATAGGGTTATCACATTGGGAGGAAGCTTATCTCTGGCCAGCTAGCACAAAAATACCCGAGTAAAAAAGAGAGGAAGAGGAAGCACCGCGTGCATGGGTGTCTCAGATGCATGCAATGCAATGGTGGGATGAGTGGAAGCTGTGCGTCCTTGTCTTGTGCAGTCTCTCTGTCCAGTTCTTCCTCTACTTCTCAAATTATGTGCGTAGATTGCATAACCTACGCAGGTTGAGGGTGCTGGTGTGGATCGCGCACATTGGCGGGGATGCCCTGGCGGTCTATGCTATTGCCATCCTCTTCAACCGCCAAAAGCAGCGAAATGTGGATGAGAGAAGCGAAGCTCTCGAGCTCATATGGTTGCCTATCCTCCTCATTCACCTCGGCGGCCAGTCCTACAGCCTCGAGGACAATGAGCTATGGAAGCGGCATGCCATAACTCTGCTGTCCCAAGTCGCGTTCGCCTTGTACATCTTTTGCAAGTGGTGGTCCGGCCAGAAGAGGCTCCTGCAGGCGGCCGTCTTGCTCTTTGTCGCTGGCATCCTCGAGTTCGGCCAGAAGCCATGGGCCCTTAAGAGGGCCAGCTTCAATAGCATGGCCTCCAAAAGTTCACAAAGATCTTTGTCTTTATTGTTGCAAATTCTCCCACAGAATCGATCACATCAAATACGATAAACACAAGCGCACACAAAACTGATAGTCAAGGACTCTTGCCGTGCCCTCTTTTCTTTCTCTTTATTTCTTTTCTTGTTCTCTCGATGTTACAACAAAACTCACACAACACCCTGTGTATATATACACAGCTGACCAGCACAAAAGATTCTAATCCTACTCGTGCCAACTCTGGACGCCTAAACCGACCTAGACTTCAACTAGCACCGCCCAGCAACACAATCCTAGCCGGACTCCCGTACTCTCCAAATACTAGTCCTCTTGCATAGCTTTGTTTTCCTTAATCTAATCACCGGCAACGCTGATCACACTACTAATTCTAACCGGACACAACTAACACACTTGTAGCCAAATTTGAACTTGTTTGGATTAAGCTAACATTCGCCCCCTAATCCAAACACTCGACACTTTACTCAACAAGACACGCAGATGACCGCCTACTCATCTTGTCACGTTCATTGCCTCCGGTGACGCGACTTACCGGATTACAACTTCTCTCTTCATGCAACGATGGTCACCGTTTCATCGTCACCACAACTTTGTTTGCATATCGACTCATAGACTTTAACCAACGATTACCTGGACTACCAGCCACGCTGACACATCTTAGCATGCTACATCCCGACTAAACGCATAGTGTCGGTGTCAAAACCGGCAGATCTCGGGTAGTGGGTCCCGAACTGTGCGTCTAGGCCGGATGGTAACAGGAGGCAGGGAACACGATGTTTTACCCAGGTCCGGGCCCTCTTGATGGAGGTAAAATCCTACGTCCTGCTTGATTAATATTGATGATATGGGTAGTACAAGAGTAGATCTATCACGAGATCAAGGAGGCTAAAGCCTAGAAGCTAGCCTACGGTATGATTGTTGTATATGGGGTTGATTGCCTATGGACTACAACCCTTCGGTTTATATAGACACCGGATAGGGTTAGGGTTACACAGAGTCGGTTACAATGGTAGGAGATCTTGAATATACGCATCGCCAAGCTTTCCTTCCACGCCAAGGAAAGTCCCATCCGGACACGGGACGAAGTCTTCAATCTTGTATCTTCATAGTCCAGGAGTCCGGATGAAGGTATAGTCCGGCTACCCGAACACCCCCTAATCCAGGACTCCCTCAGTAGCCCCCGAACCAGACTTCAATGACGATGAGTACGGCGCGCAGATTGTTCGGCATTGCAAGGCGGGTTCTTCTCCAAATCCTGTGTACCTGTAGGAATAATGTCCGATTTTTGTAATGTAGCGCTCCTCGACTCCCTCGCCCAATAATGGCCGTCTTCCATGTGTCAAACGAATGCGAAAAGCCGGGGCATTTTTACATCCGCGCCCCTAGCCATATAAACGAGCCGCCTATTTAACGGGATGTGGATTTAGGTCCAAACCACATCTTCTCCTCTCCGCGAGTTATCATCAGAGCGCTTCCAGCAAAGGTCCATTCCAACATGACCAGCCGTCGCAGCTCCTCCCCTCGCCCCTCCGGTCCCAAACCCGGGGACTGGAGAGTTGCACCATCCCGCATAGCGAGTTAGTGTCGCTTCAGGCCAAGGGATTTCTCCCTCAGGCATACATGGTCCCGGTCCGAGCCGGTCTCGCCACCTATAATGGCGGAAAACAAGCGGAGAGCACCCTTAATCCTTCTAAAGGAGAGCGGATGTGCCTCGTCCCCTATCTAATAAGGGGACTGGGGTTTCCAATTCATCCATTTCTCCGCGGGCTTCTGGAGTTCTACGGCCTCCAGCTGCACAATCTCACGCCCGCCTCCGTATTACATATTGCGGGTTTCGTCGCCCTTTGCGAGCTATTTTTAGGCGTTGAGGCTCATTTCGCGCTGTGGAAGAGGTTATTCTGCCTGGTGCCCCGTTCTTGAGAGGGGTCTATATACCAAGTGGGCGGAGCCGAAGTATGGCGCATCGCCGGGACCGGATACCTATCCGGAACCCCAAAGAAGGCATCCGATGACTGGCCTTCGGAATGGTTTTACATAGATGACGTCCCGCTACCGGACCCTATCCGGGTCGGTCTCCCTGAGTTCAACAGTGCCCCATTGAAGAAACACTTGAGCTGGCGTCCGCGGAGCTCTCAGAAAGAAAGCGACAGAGACGTCCTTTACCTGATGGGCCGGGTAAGACTATTGGCTCATTCCGGACTAACCATGATTGGAGTCATGGCCGCATGCATTATGCGAGGGGTGCAGCCGCTTCAATATAGAGGCCACCCCATGTGGGATTTCAACGGGGAGGATGACGCCACCCGTTACGGTCGTAAGGGGCCGGCCTCAGCTGCCGCCCTAGTAAGGATCTTATCCTCTTTGTACAAGGAAGAAAAGGAGGAATTCCTCCGCGTCAATCCGCAGGCCGGATTTACTATGTACGATCCTCCAAGTTGGGTAAGTGAATAATTGCGCTTGCCCGTCTGTTTTATACTCCCAGGTTAGATATGTAGTCTAATGACTTCAGTGCAGGAACTGCGACAGGAGGTAAAGGATATAAACAGCCGCCCTCCACAGCCCGAGGACCCAGAACGGTCCCTCGATCCAGACTCCGAAGAGGACCCGGACATATTGGTGGAGCTTATCGACGGGGTGTTCCATCAGCTAAGCAAGGACAATACCTTGGTAGCCATCACGGCTGATTACCCAGGGTTAATCCCGGCCTCCCAGGTGACAGAAACCGGAGTCTCATTCCCTTGAGAGAGATTCCACTCTCACGTATTCCGGTGTTTCTGACGGCAACCGTGTTTTGCAGGGGAGATTTTTGAGGCAGGAGGCCGAACCTGCGTCGGCTAGCCAACGAGGGGCCGCAGGATCCCGTGGGGCAAAAAGGAATGCAGTCCGGACTGAGATGCCGGCGCAAAGGTATAGCACACCCTCTGTTTCCCTGGTGTTATTCTGTCAGGGCATATTAACATTCGTGCTATCTTCAGAACGAAGAGACCTCGCCGGACTACATCCGGAGAGGTTGCCAATCGTGCCTCCACCAGCCAGGCTCCAACGTCTGGCTAGGAAGCGGAGGCGAGCACAAGGCGTGCACCGGACGCTCCTCCGACAGAGGATGCGGACATGCTGTCTGCCACAAATTCTGAAGTGGAGAGTGCCATGAACCACAGGCGTCGCCGGACAGTTCTACGCGATGCTTGTTTCTCCCAAGAGGCTTTAGATGCCTTTAATTCGGGAGATGAGTACCTCCGTGCCGCTCAAAATGGTTTAGCTAGAGCCACGGAGCAGTATGTAAAAGACATACGTGTAAGAAAATTTTGGTCAAATATAGATATACCAGTAGCCCCCGAGACTGGAAATAGTTAGAGCAACTGATTTAAGGATCATTTAATAAGCAGGTTCTTACAGAGAAGAATACCATACTATCCCAGGAGCTGGAAAAGTGCAAGGCCCAACTAGAGGCCGCACTAGCCGCAGCAGGGGAGCCCAAAGAGACTCCCTCAGGTAAGATACGCTTCGAAAGATTAGTATTGTGCGGTGTGGGTGCAAATCTGACAAATCATGTTGTAGATGGCGCCGGACTCGATCCGGAAAAGCAACAACTCTTACGCCGGCTAAAGGCTGGTGAGAGTATGTTGACAAATGTGAGGCGAGAGAAGAATGATCTTCAGGATGCCAACACCAGGCTGGACGTCGAACTTAAAGATGTTCGTGGCCAGCTATCGGACTCCACGAGGGAGAATCAGCGGCTTCGACGCGGCATATTCAGTAAGTGCTTGAACGAACTTTAAAAAAAAAAGAGTTCGACGAGGAAGTTGACTAACAGAGTAATGTCTGTAGGTATGCTCACAGGTCGTCCTGCAGAGGAAATGCCCGGTTCTACGGGTGACCTTCTTCCCGAACTCATGCAACTACACGAGCGAATTCAGCAGGCGATGCGAGGTGTGCCCAAGCCTTATGGCCTGCCCACTCCATGCCCGAGGGCCTTGGAGAGCTTGCGGAGAAGCTGAAGGGAGCTCGGCGGCGCTTCCGGTTGTGGAAGATATCGGCCTGCCGACAAGGCGCTAGGGAAGCCTGGGCCATGGTGAAGACCCGTTTTACGAAGTCTGACCCAAACCACATGGCCGAGGTCGAACCAGTGGGGCCTGACGGGAAGGAGATCCCTGTGAGCTTAGTATACGACCAAGTAGAGTTGGCCGCGAAGTATTCCCAGCAGGACTGTAAATTAGACAGCCTGTTAGATGGTATAGAAGAGGAATACAATCAGTCAGAATGACTATGTAATTTTGAATTGACATGTGTAATACCTTCTAGTCAGATTGTAGATCGTTTGTCGTTGCCGACCTTTTCGCTTCAACCTCGGGACCTGACGGTCCGGAGTGTGTCCGAATACCATAGCGGTTATATAAGAACCGTGGTATGCGTGGAGACCAGGCGTAGGGGTCATTAGTGCTTTATCAGACAAGTGCCCAACTAGTTATGTTATATTACATGGTTAGTAAGAAACATCTTCCAGAGAGAATAGTTCCGTTAGGGGTTCCTTTTGCTGGGAGGCATGCCCTAAAGTGCATGTCCGGACTGTGTAAAAAGACGCAGAAAAAGCATCTGGGGACGCATAAAATGAGTAAAAAGATCATCTTTTATCTCACCGACCGAATATTCCCTTAAGAACGCTAGCTTTCGGCTTCACCCAATTTGAGGTACACATCCGGCTGACCCGGCAGTAACAATCGCAAAGGTGCTCCCTTTACCGCCTAGCTGAACAATCGGGAACGTAGGGGTAAGCACAGGAGCCAGGCAACCCAGCTTGGCCAAAACTTAAGTCATATCGATGCATATAATGGTGAAGAAAAAGGTACATGCGGAAGTTTGATGCATGTGTTGAGCGTGAAGCCCGTATAAATAAGCTTCTGTTAAAGAAGCCCCCAGGTTTAATGAGCGCGAGTGGCGCATCACTAGATGAGCCTTTAAGGGCTATAAAAGAAAAGAGGGGAAGGAGAGAAATGTAAGACAGAAAAATGCAAAAAATGGACAGAGGAAGGAGACGAACACAGAGTCCGGCGCTA